GCAGTACGTGTGCTTGGTCAGATATGTACAGCTCACTTGCAAAAGGAAATGTGTTGCACAGGTTTTATAAAATTACTATTATGGTCATGATTAATGATGTTGTTATCCGAACAGTGAAACCACAAGACTTCAGGACCTCTGTAGCAATCGCAGAGCTCTAGTACATGCAGCACAAATTTCTCTAATTGAGCATTTGAGGGCATGTTGAAACAGAGTTTCTTACTGGACTCCCTGTTCCAACAACTTTGGTTTAGGGTTAATTTGTCTTATGTGGCTACTGGACACATAATAGTTTCCTGCCTCAATATTGGAGCTGGACTGGTTTCAACAGGCTTTAGAGGAAGATAGTGTTTCAGTGACAGACCAGTGGCTCAATGGTTTGGGACTTGTTTTTCCATGGGTGAAATAGCCTGGCTCTGGAGACCACGTCCTTTCACCAGTGTGTTGTATTTGGGTGACTTGCAACAAACCTCTCATGTGTCCCCTTTCCATCATCCTCCCCGAAATTTTCACTGCTAATGCTGGTGATAGAAAATCTGAGCCAAGATCCATTCTTGTCATTGGGACAGAATTTGTTCCCTGCTTCCATGACTGATAGTGCCTTGCCATCATTTGTTCATAGGGGCTGACAATGCCTTCTCTTTGAGAATGTGCCTGATTTTCACCAGTCACTAAGTCCAGGTTCAGTCCCAGTGGGGTGGCACTGAGTGAATGCTTGTGAAAGCCTGAGCATCATCATGCCTTTGATCCTTAGGCACTTAGTTTCTTCTATGGGTTTCCATATGGCTTCTTGAACCATTTTTTAACTATGAGCTCTGTCAGAAGTACCTCCTTCTGTTTGAACCTTATCTTAGCTTGTTCCAGTGAATGTCTTGCAATCTTCTCTTCTGAAGGATACTAAGAGTAATATCCTGCTACTCACATTCCCATGAGACTCATGATTCAATAGGCTTCTCGTCCCATCTCCATAGTCCCTTCCATCATCTCTTTCCCAGACTTGAGAGCTCAGGTTGTTTATGAGAAGCCATCCCCCTTGATTGTCCTGACTATGGCTCTGTGAGCTTGCCATGGTGGAAATACCCTTATTGTCACAGGGTGGAGTTGAGGCCAGAACCACAGACAGACTGGGGAAGCACAGCAGATACAGTCAATGCCTTCACGATAATATTTGTTGTTGCTGCTTTTTTTTTTGTTCTGGTGCTAAGCCACCAAGCTGAGAGTGTTGAAGGGCTGTCAGTGTTAAGCCCAAGACCTCTTCCCTGAGCAGCAGTAGCAGCTGGCTCAGAGTGCATCACTGTACATGTCAGACCGAGGTGTTGTCATCACTTTGCACTTCAGGGGTAGTTATGGTGGGGTTTTTTAGCATCCAGTCTCTCAGCATTATGAGGTTCTTAAGGAATTTTTCAGGGTCAGCTTTCATTTTTACACCCTAGAATAGCTTATTTCATCAGAAAACTTTGTCTTCTTGTTGTTCACCTCTCTCTTGAGATCATGGATGAGTAAGCTCACAAGCACAGGAGAGGAGCCTGTGGGGTTCATGGGTGGCCTTCTGCTTCTTTTCTACCTTTTTTTCCTGATCTTCAAACAATTCATTCCCAAGTGTCAAGAGCTTTCTCACCTACAGAGGTCTGAAGCTTCAATGGGAGACCTTGTAGGAAAATAACAGTAATTGGCTTATCCCAGCCAATGGTCAGCAAGGTAACCCTGCAGGCAGCGGCATTTGTCAACCAGTTGCCTTTAGCGTCACCAATCAGGAGGCAGTGGGAACTTTTTTACAGACAAGTGAGCAGAGACCTAGTCTCGGATAGCTTGCTTTCTCCCTTTCTGGGCACTTCAGAGTAAGTGTTTGTGTTGGCAAAGTGCCCTTCTAATGTGAGGACACTGAACCTGGAAATGCAGCAATTTTTAATAAGGTGAAAGCGGAGGCCAGAACCACAGCCTCCGTGGTATGCTGCAAACAGGTTTTGTAGCCATGTCAATGCATGTGGAAGAGAGGCTCAGTTGCCCTGCTGGGTCTGAACGAGAATAAGGTGTGGAGGAAAGCAAGGATAGATAAGAATCTAGCAAGATAAAAATCCCTCCTGCCTCTTTTCCTATTGCCTATTGCAGAAATACTGCCTTTCCTGAGAGACAGCAAATAGGAGGCTGCTTAGAGGGCTGGGTATAGCTCGCATCTGCCTCACTGAGATTGTCTAGTAGTTATATCCAGTTTGGGATTTTTATTCCCATCTAGGAGGATGAGGGGGTTGCAGGCCAGTATGCACAACCCCCTCCAGTTGGGTGATTTTCCCAGGCTTCGTTATTTTGACCAGAAGCACCCACGATGTTTTTGGAATGCATCCACAAAAGGCCTGTCCCAGCAGGGCTTGGCCATAGTTCCAATGAAAGCGAAGAGTCCTGCTAGCAAGCTCAGCACCATGGTAAGGCCCTGCCTTCTTTTTAGTTCATGGCAGTCAAAGTTTAACTTGAAGAGCATGCTGTTGGCTGAGGCTGCCTGAGCTATGGGTGCGTGACTTTCTGTTGGTCTGAGAAGCTTAAATTACAGCTCAGCATCTGGGTCTGCTCTGCATACAGCACTGCAAAAAGGTGCTTATGTGAGGCAGGTGTTGTAACTAAATCCTAACTTTTCTCAGGTTTTCAAAATAGGTTAGAAGCTTAAGTACTTGCTTGTAGAAGCTGCTTGTTTTCTTTTGAAATGTCCCTGAGATTTGCTAGATATTGTATGACCTAAAGTTACAGGTACAAGAATTAGTTCTGCTGACTTTAAACCCCAGATTTGAAATGCCTTTTTCTAATAAGTTGCAAAGACTGGGCTTTTTAAAAAGAGCCTGAATATCAATGCAGTTACATTTTGGAGGTGTTGCTAACTGTCTTAAAAGTTGTTCTGCTTCTAGGTACTTGTTTGGAAAACAAACACACAAACAACCCACAACCAAAACAAACATATGCATTAAAAAATCTGTTCCTAATGGGCAGGTCAGCTATTCAAAACTCATCCTGCTCATTGTATTTCTCAGATAACCCAGCCTGTCTTTACATCACAGTGCAAACAGGTCTGTGTGTTTGCTTTCAACAAAGTTGGGAGTTCAATGCTTGAAAGTGCTACATCAGTTAAAGAAGATCGACATCTATTTTGTGTTGTAATGCTTTAAGGTGTGCTCACCTTTGGACAGAGTCTTAGAGTATTGTTTTCAGAATAAACAAATATCCACAATGAGTGTTCTTGTAGTCTTGGAGTAACAGACATGTCTAGAAAATAATATTTAGAGAGTGCATTCTTAATGAGAGAAGGCTTTTCAGGTAAAACCAGTCTTCTCCCACTGCCGATAAAACTTCACTGCTCTTGAGGTTGTGTCTCCAGCTAACTTGTGGAAAATGGAAGCCTTTCCCTTGAACTTGTAGCTTCAGGACAGCTGCTTAGTTTGGGGGGGGTGGATTTGTTGGAACAAGACCAGAGGAGGGCCAGAAAGATGATCAGAAGGCTGGAGCACCTCTGCTACAAAGACAGGCTGAGAGAGTTGGGGTTGTTCGGTCTGGAGAAGGCTCCAGGGAGACCTTAGAGTGGGCTTCCAGCTCCTGAAGAGGCTACAGGAAAGCTGGGGAGGGACTTTTTACAAGGGCTTGTAGTGACGGGATGAGGGGTAATGGCTTTAGGCTGGAAGATGATAGAGTTGTCTTACGTATGAGGAAGAAATCCTTTCCTGTTAGAGTGGTGAGACACTAGCACAGGCTGTCCAGAGAAGATGCCCCATCCCTGGAAGTGTTCAAGGCCAGATTGGATGAGGCTTGGGGCAACCTGGTCTAGTGGGAGGTGTCCCTACCCATGTAGGGGGGTTGAAACTAGATGATCTTTCAGGTCCCTTCCAACCCAACCCATTCTCTGATTTTCCCTCATTCAAAGTACCAATATTTTAGGCACATGCAGTGTTACAGCTCTTATAATTGTTGCGCATGGAGGCTCTTTTTTGTGCTCCTTATCAGTTAGTGTATTTAACAGCTGTCCTCTGATATTCATGTTAATAGGAAAAAGCCCAACCAATCCATGAAAAAAATTAATGGGGAAAATTCTGCCCATGGCAGGGGGGTTGGAAATAGATTATCATTAAGGTCCCTTCCAAACCAAACCATTCTATGATTCTATAATTGTATGGAGACTGTTTTAACCAAGGGCAGGTTATGGAGAGAAGATGGCTAAGACTGGTACCTCACTGTGTATTTCTCCAGGAGAAGGAATATGTGTATTGAGAAGCTGTGTGTATTGGCAACAGCATGTTGTTGCGTGATACTTCACTCTTTGATGATCATGTAATGATGTAACTATTTATCCTAAAGAAAGTACTCACCGTGAGCCAGGAATGTACAAAAACACAAGTAGCATTCATTGCATATTGCAGATTAGTGACGTAATGAGGAAAAAAATCCTGAAGTTTTTAAAGGAAATCTGATCGTTCAAGTAGCCTGGAATGAACTGAAGTTTGGTGAGTGTTTGGAGAAGAATGTGTAGAGGACTATTTGGCTTAATGGGATGCCTTAACAAAATTGCCAGGTGTTTTTGTAGCCTGGGTAACTAGTAAGGTACAGCCTGGGCACACAGATGCTCTGAGTCTGCCTGCAGGACTTACACAATTGCATCATTTGATGGAGTTTTAACTTCACTCTTCAGGGGGAGCTTCTAACGTGAACACTCATCATCCTGCAGTGCCCAGTATAACAAATAACGTGCCAAGCAAATACGAGTGGTGTTGGTGAATGTGTCATGGGTAGGCTATGGCATATTATTTTTCCATGTGTGTGGCGACAGCTTTTATGGGCTGGCAACAGATCTGCCTCTTTCACATATTTTACGTGATACTTTATGAAGCGGCCTGCTGTCAGGTGTTGCCAGTATTGCAGGTGTGCACAAAGTCAGTGAGTAGCAAAACATCTCTTTTAATACTGCATGTGGTAACAGCTGAATGTGTGACAATTTCCTCCCCCCTCCTTCTTTCCATTTAAAACAGAATGCTACAGATAGCTCCTCTAACTCCTCTCAAAAAAGGGAACAGCCTGTGAGAACGCTGGCTTCTCCTTCATCCTGTGAACATCGAAGAATTTGCACTCGTGGACACCTTCATGACCATTTCAGCTCTGACCACTACCATCTAGACCAAGTAAGGTTTCTTCCCAGTGTTGCCACCTAAAGGGGCTGTGTCTGCCATAGCTAAGGCTGGTTTTTCCCCCCACATCCCTGAAAGGCACCACCCTCCCTCCTTCTGTTCTGCCCCTTTCTTTCTCAGTTAGCTTTAAATGCCTTCCAGTTTTATTTTTATGTTTTTTAAAGAGGCTTACACTGTGATTTAGTCTGTTATATTGTACTGTGTGCTCCCAGACCATTGTAGGCGTGTGACAGTTGTACTCATTCCTGAGCCAAAGCTTGAACCCCTGTGATGGGTCATGGTGAAGGGTGTACAAAGAAGGAAAAATAAAATAGTTAAACATTGCCTTTCCACTAAGCAAGGAGGCAGTGATTGCTGATAGCAAAGTGAGTTTACTTATCTTTTCTTCCTTTTCATCTCCATCCCTACTTCCACAGTCAGTACCGCGATCCTACCGGCACGTCAACTTTCCAGATGATGATGAGGAGATAGTGCGAATCAATCCTCGGGAAAAGATTTGGATGACTGGATACGAGGACTATCGCCATGCCCCAGCACGGGGAAAGAACTTTGATCCTGATGACATGGACTCCTACGTACGTTTTGCCAAAAGCGAGGCCTCAAAACATGAATACACTTACCCTTATGTAGACAACTCGGACTTTGACCTGGGTGAAGATGTCAAGGGTGCTGTGATAAAGACTCAACCTGTCAAATTCAAGCCTAGGCGGAAGGAAGATGGTGAGAGGTCACGGTGTGTGTACTGCAGGGACATGTTCAACCACGAGGAGAACAAACGGGGTCAATGCCAGGATGCTCCAGACCGCGTCAAGACTTGCATCCATCGAGTGAGCTGTATGTGGTGTGCAGACACTATGCTCTATCACTGTATGTCCGATCCAGAAGGAGACTATACAGATCCTTGCTCGTGTGACACCAGTGATGAAATGTTTTGCCTCCGGTGGATGGCCCTTATCGCCTTGTCTTTCATTGCTCCATGTATGTGCTGTTACTTGCCGCTTCGGGCTTGTTACCACTGTGGGGTCATGTGCAGGTGCTGTGGTGGAAAACACAAAGCTGCTGGATGACTACAGATGCATTCGAAGTGTTACATTTTTCCTGTAGTTCAAGGAACACGTTGGTTTTGGAGCATTGAGATCACTCATTTTGATGCAGCCACTGTGCCCAACAGCATCCAGAAACCACCAGTTTGGATCACTTTACGTTGGTCGTCTGGGGCTCACACTGCATTGATTTGCTCATAAAGTGTTCTAACTAACTAACCTACAGCATAGACTTTTGTATTATTAATCTGTAATCAAAACAGACTGTCTTGTACATGTTTATATTTTATTTTTATTTTTTTTTCCAGTTACAATGAGTTTGAGAAAAGAACTGCTTTAAATGGTGGTGGATTGTAGAACATCTCCAGGTTGTGTCCGTCTTGCCTCTGCTTGTGCGGTACCATCAGCGGGTTAGCAAGCTCTGGCATTTCTAGAAACGGGGTGGTGTGGTGAATGAAATCTCACATGGAAGGTATTTTAACTTGCCGTCAAGTTATTGTGTGTGTATAGAAGGTGTGCTAGTAACAAAACTTGTACCACAACACAGTATTTCTGTCACTGGTTTCCTTGGGTTTTTTGTTCTGTTTTCCAAAGCCAAAATAGTCATCTAAGCTGCAGTTTGTCTTCTAGAGTCCATCGTCATTTCCTTCAGCAAACATCTTAAATTATTTCTCTGTTCATAAAGCTCTGTGAACAGAAAGCAAGGCTCAGTTACCATAATCACATAACCATTGAGAGTCTGGTAGTCCTCCTTACCTGCAATCATTTCAGACCACTACTTGAAAGGGAAACTTAGATTTTAGGGTTTTCTTTTTTCCCTAAATAACATTGGAAAAATAAAACTGTGTTTTCAGAGTTCTGCCCAAAAGAAAGGGAACTTCTTCAGTAGCCAGCCATGTAATGATTGTGAATAAAACACTACGGTTCCAAATGAGGAAAAATTGTTGTTATGCAAAGAATTACTAACAATGCAATGTCAAAAGCACTATTATGGCAATTCTTGGGAAATGCTGCATTAAGTGGTGGATTATATGGAAGACCATGTTTGTTTGTTTGTTCTGTATAGTGATACATGAGCATGAGAACATACGCATCCACGGTAGAAACTACATTTAGCAGTCGAAGCAGGTATTTAAAACCAAAAGCCAGGGTGTGAGCCACCACTTCCATTCCCTGACCTGCGGTCCCGGTCCTCCAGATGCTTACACGTCTCGACGTACTGCGCGTGGAGGCGGCGTTTCTGTGAGGCCGCGTGTAGGACACGAAGCACGTGAGTCTTTGCAGGAGCCAGACCAAAGTGTCTCCCTGGCTCTCCCCTCCCTAGTTCACCACCCAGATTTATCAAGTGGATGCATAAGGTGCATACAGCAGGATAAAGATTACTTTAATTATTTTTTTTTTAATTTCTTTTTTTATTTTAAATGTCATGTTGTCTTGTGTACAAGGCTTGTAATTAGCTTGGAAAAAGAGTATTTTTCTAATATATTACAAGGAATAGCCAAATAATTTTTATTAAAAGAAAATGATTTAGCGCAGTGAGCTCTAACTAGCATAGTACAATCTGAATACTTTGAGGCAGCTAGGGATTGGCTTGTCAAAGCTGGCACTGCTGTTCCTGCCATAATTTCTTTCTGCAGTAAATTGCCAGTGGTTGCATGTCCTTTCCCTCCCTCTATTGCACATTGACATCAGTCTTAAAAGAGAGGAATTTTTTTTTTTTTTAAATTAATTTGCCAAATAAATATAAAAGGAACGCTTGCCATTCTTTCTTGGTGGAATGTCCCAACAGTTCCTCTGAGAATTAATCACAGCTTTTTAGTCAACCATGAATTAAGTATGCAACGTGCTTATACACTATAGAGTTTGGTAGGCTTAATTCGTAGCAGTTGCTGGGGATCTTTTAGGTTGGGGGAAAAAAAAAAAAGGAATTATAGTAGAAAAGGGATAGAGTGTTACACTCTGGGTGATATGTCTGGGTTTGCTGAACGAAATATAAATATTTTGTGCCTAATAGCAGTTGACAAATCTCTCAATGGTGTCTAGTAAACATCAAGCCAGCCTCGAGGAAAAAAAAAGATAAATAATGGAACAACCTTCTCCTTTTATTTCTGTTCTCAAAAGTTGTTTCATGTAAACAAACATCTGTAAGATCTTCTCTCTATAAAGCACAACACTACAAAAAGATCTTACAGCTTTTTGTCCGGTCTTGAAGTGCCCCTATTTATTTAAGTAAAGTAGACATACTATCCAAGCCTTTCTGTATGTCTGGAAATAAAAGGTTCTTTTTTAAAAAATCCCTCTTTTTTTTTAATTTTTATTTTTCCTTCCACTCCTCCTTCTTCCCTCTTCTCTGGGGTTTTTGTAATACTTGTAGATTTTGCTGCGTGTGTTATTTGGTTTGTGAAGGCAGTGGTGTAAGGGCACAATGATAGAAATGGGTGTTTTTTTGTAAATATTTCTCCTTAATTTCCACACTGCTGCTGAACAGTGTGTAGCGTTCTCCCAGTCAGCTTTGCAATACTGACATCAATCATTTGAGAGAAATTATTCAGATTTTATTTTTGTATCTGTGGTAACAAAACATTAACCAAATTTTATTTCTTCTGTTGTGGAAAGATTTTTTTTGTTGGGTTTTTTTTCCAAGCTGTCGCTCACGTTAACAAATTAAAGTGCCTGAAGCCTCATCATTATTGTATCTATATACTAAAAGTTAAAACCCTGTTGTATTGATTTTTATAAGCCTTTTTACCTCTGTGTAAAAAAAAAATATATATACAAGTGTATGATGTACATTTTAGTTCTTAACTTCTTTTTTTATTGTTTCTAATATGTATGATCAGTGTAGCTATTGCTTTAAAATGTACCATGTAAATATAAATACATCATATCAAAATTACACTGTTTATTGTTCTTGAGCCGACTGGAAAATGAGGGAAAACAACACGGTGCTGAGAAGCAAGAGGGCTGTTGCCAGAGCCACCTCCCGAGGACCCTGGGGAAAGAAATGGGATTATTTTTTCTACATTTTTTGGTGATAAATGCTGCTAGCCTGGGGCACAAGCCATCCTCGCCCAAACACAGCAGGGAGTGCAGGGACAGGTGTCTTTTCAATTGTTTTTTAGGTGGTTTTCAGATGTTTCACAGAGTTTGGGGAGGATGGATGCGAGGTGGCCTGGCCTGGTGGCACAACAGCCCAAGAGGCCCCAGTGGCCGTGACAGCTGAAAGGATTCCCCTCCTGCCCTCACTTCTCTTCTCCCCGGCCCTCATCCCATGTGCTGCTTTGGCCTGGGCTGGATACGCCACGTTGAATGTTTTTATTGTATTTTGTTGCACCCGAGCAGGGCAGCCCCAAAGAAAGAGGGAAGGCAGAGAGAAAGGCTGGCAGAGGTGGCTGCTTTTTGAGCAGGGTGGGAGCTCGCAGGGCTGGCTGGATGCTGCTGGGGAGAGGTGTCTGGGGCAGCTGGCGCTGCCAGCCCTGCACAGAGAAGGTCAGCAGGGAAGATGGGAGAGGAATAACTCGGTTAAAGCACACCAGGCTGTGGCCAATTGACTGAAGGAACCAGAGTTAAACCAGTGAGAGTATCTGAATTTTTAGTTATTTCTCATGGGAGCTAGTTAGGCCAGCACTGCGCGCTTCGGAAAAGCCCGGGGATTTTGTAGGTGAGAACTCAACCAAGCCATGCTCCTTTGTTTCTGTGTGCTGCTGCTGAATTGCCAAGCTGCCTGGAGTGCCATGTGAGGGGAGGTGAAGGGCACGCGTGCCAAACCATGTGTGTTCTTGGATGAAGTTTGCTTCCTGCAGTGGCAGAGCTTTGACCCTTCTGCACCCACCCAGCACAGGAGGTCCCGTTGTTTAAGTAACCTTGATAGTGTAATTTGTCACAGCTTTGCTGAGATCCTGAGCCTGCATTCCCTTTTTATTACTTTATATTTGTATTTGTGTGTTTCTCAGAATACTATATGTTCTTATAATGGTGCTGGAGTGAGTCCCAAGAAGGGCAATGAAGCTGGTGAAGGGTCTGGAGAACAAGTGTTACTAGGAGCAGCTGAGGGAACTGGGATTGTTTAGCCTGGAGAAAAGGAGACTGAGGGGAGACCTCACCCTCTTGAACTACCTGAAAGAGGTTGTGGTTAGAGGGTGTAGGTCTCTTCCTCCAAGTAACAAGACAGAATAAGAGGAAGTGACCTCAAGTTGTATCAGGGGAGGTTTAGACTGGATATTAGAAGAAACATCTTCCCCAAAACGGTTACGAAACACTGGAACAGGCTGCCTAGGAAGGTGGTTGAATCGCCATCCCTGAAGGTGTTTAAAAGACATGTAGGTGTATGTGGTGCTTAGGGACATGGCTTTGCACCAGACTCAGCAGAGTTAAGTTAATGGTTGGACTCAATGATCTTAAAGGTCTTTTCCTACCAAAATGATTCTATGATGGTTCCATTATATAAATATATTATACGAGTGTGTATTTATTACAAATCAACTAAAAAAGGTTTTAGAGGCCTTTTGAGAAGCACTGTGGGCCAGGTAGTGTGTTCAGGAGGATTCATGTTGCACAAAATCCTTTGGTCTGCTTTGGTATTTGCTCCATCCATGGCAAAGCTGAGGGCAAAGGGACTCCAATGGCCTGTTGCTTACAGTTCATACTGTTTTGACTAGTTATGGTAGGAAGATGTCAACACTGTTTTCTGGTCATTCAAATAAAGTTGTCCTGCAGAAGGACAAGCTTGCTTCTGTAAATCAAAGGGGTTGCTTATGCTTAGAGATTTCTATACTGAACCAATAAATGGTACGTTCAGACCCTAGATTGGTGGAAAATGCAAAATCACCACCAAGTTACAAGGTGCCATGAAAGGCAATCAGCCTTCTGCAGCCTGATCAATGCGGAGGTCCTGGGCTTCCTCCTGCTGTCCTCTTTGCAAGATGGAATCAAGGAGACTGAGTTTGAAAAGGACACAGATACTGCAAACACTACACTAGTAAATGTAATACGAATTGCATTTTAGAATAAAGTCCTTTCACCCAGACTGAGTTTTGTGCACTGACAAATACAGCTTGGCATTTTATAGCAAAGACTTGATAACAATATGTGCTGCTACCATTGTCTGAGTCAGAATGGCTCTCCTGGCCTCTCGTTTCCCTGTTTTGGCAGCAGGACCAGTGCAGACCTAGTCCACCTCCAGGCCTTTCTCTGGAGAAGGCATCCTTGGGTTCAGACAAATGTTAACACAGCAGTCTCATCTGTATGAACTTTTCTCTTGTAGCCTGTGAAACTGAAGAGACAGATGGCAAGGAGAGGATTTTCTTGGCTGTGCTCACTCAGGAAACCTGCAAATGCTTCCAGCAAGCCTCTCATAAAAGCAGTATCAGGTCAGGAATTGCAGGGGGAATAGAGAGCAACTGCAAGAGTTACCCAGTATGGCTCTCCAGTTACAACAGTTCTGTTCTCCTGCAAGGCACCACAGTAACGGTGTCAAGCATTTCTCAGGAGTGGCTGCAGCTTCCCAGAATTACCTTCAGGGGCAGAATTTTTGCACCTGGTCTCCTTTAATTGCTCAGTAATAAAAAGTTTTTCTCACTCTAGTGAGTGAGCTGTAATTTAAGTAGGCAAAACTGACATCCCTGTTGTGAAAAAAAGTCAGTCAAAGAGGATTTGAATGACTTGCGTAATGTCACGTTGGAAATTTGTGGCACAAGTATCCTGAGCACAAGTCTACCACCATCTTCATCTAAAGGTTGTCTCTCCTGTCACTCTGTCTGAAGATTAAGTCGGGGGGGGTCTGGGTTTCCACAGCCCCCCCACTGCCATGGAGCACAAATCAAACCAGTCAGCCCAAGAGCATGGAATGTGTAAATCTTTCTCTGCTAATTCCACTTAGAAATGCAAGTTGGAAGTGGTTGTCAGGACGCCTGGAAATGAGGGGCATCGTTGCATGTGTTCCCAATGCTTATCACAGGCAGAATTTGACTTCTCAGCCAGACCAAACGCAGTCTGTTTCACGAATCATTTGGGAGAGA